AGATAGGTTTCATTACTACCTTCATTGGAAACATGAGGAATCCAAGGGATAGAAGAATGGAATAATCAGCCCAAGTAATCCATCTAGATACAGGCAGGGCAAGGATTCAGACTAGGTGACTGCTGGTTCATTTTTCGTGAAATTTAAAGACCTTTAGTCATCTCTGGGCTTTCCCAGAGGCTCAGCAGTAAAGCATCTGCCTGCAATACAGGAGATGCAGGAGACTTGGGTTCACTTCCTGGGTCAGGAAGATCCCCTGGGGGAGGGCATAGTAATCCACTCCAGTATTCTTAACTGGGAAATTCCATGGACAGAGGAACCTGGCAGGCTACAGTCCATGGGGTAGCAAAGAGTCAGACACAACTGAGCACGCATGCATGCACAGTCATCTTGAGAAAATTTGACATGACTCTTTATCCTTGCCAGGACTTTGGGTCACTGTGGGTCTGATGATTGCATAGGAATTCCCTGAAGTATATTCCTGACCTGCAGACATCCTTCTGATTAGAAGGGAAATTTCAGTTCAAAAAAGCCAAAACATCTAATAGCCATTCAACCACTGCCATTCTGCTTTCCTATACATTTCCACTCTTGGAAGAATGTCCGCTTGTCTCTGATCCTTGAATAGTTCCAAAGGTTTCCCAATACCATTAGAAAACCAAATCACAAGGACAAATTCAGCATCATGGAATCAGATAATAGAGCTTCATTCAAATATTTAAAACCTATATTCAAATTTATACTAGGTACTGAGGACAGAGAGCTAGGAATTACAAAGCATGGGGTCTGCCAACAAGAGTCCAGGGATAGTCAAGAGAGTCTTCATGACCCTTTGACATAATACCTCAGATTTCCAGCAACTGAACTCCTTTAATGGACTTATGGATTTGTTTACAAATGATTAGGTTTATGGAAACACTCCCAAGACCTCCAAAGTGTTAAGAACAGATTAAATGAAAAGAGCACATCTCTAAAATGATAACTCCAATGAGTAAGCCAATTTGATTGACAAAACTATCTGTACACCTGTTTCATGATTTAATTTTAAAATTTGAAAGACACTATCTTAGCCTGAGACAAACACTTGCTTGCTTGAAGGTAATTTATTTGGGAGCAAAGTTTAGGGATGAAAGAGTCATACAGGGAATGAAGGACAGATGATATGAGGATGCATTATTGCATTAGCCACCAAATAAGTGAGTGGTACTCATGCCACAGAACCTTCTGAACATGCGTCTTAGTCATTTCAGTCGTGTCTGACTCTTTGCAGTCCCATGAACTGTAGCCTGCCAGGCTCCTCTGTCCATGGAATTCTCTAGGCAAGAATACTAGAGTGGTTGCTGTGCCTTCCTCCAGGGGATCTTCGCGGCCCAGGGAGCAAACCCTCACCTATTATGTCTCCTGCATCTACAAACGGTTTCTTTACCACTATCACCACCTGAGAAGCCACCGAACCTTCTGAAGAGTCTTATGAAATCTCAGGACTGCTCATTCCAAAGGATGAGAGGAAGAAGCATTTACCATAGACTCACCATTAGTGAAAGGTGGTCCACACTTTTGGATCATGCACTTGTGACTAGAGAACAAGTTCCCATGGGTATCCCGTATTGCAACATCAGAGAAGCTCTGGAGCAGGAAGCAGAAGGCACATGGCAGGGTCCTCACAGTGCCAGGTAGCAACCACTTGAATCTGGCAAAACTTCTTAGTATAAGATGTGAGGCGGAGAACAACGTGACATTCAAGAGGTCTCCAACATAAAACTATTATCAACAGCCCAGATATAATTTTTTTTTCTGGCCACACCACGAGGCATGCAGGATCTTAGTTCTGGACCAAGGATCAAACCTACACCAGTTACATTAGAAGCATGGAGTCTTAACCACTGGACCACCAGGGAAGTCCCTACTCAGACATAATTTTTTAAAAAATTATGTCATTCATTCATAAATATACCCAACAAACATTTATTAAGCATTAACTACATGCCAATTACTATGTTAAGTACAAGGGATAGAGTACTTTGTCTATTATAAGTGCTTTGCTCTCTTGGAACTTGCAGTCTATTGGCGGGAATCAAGGATTCAACAAATTATTACAAAAATTACTGAATTACAATTGTGATAACTGTCATGAAGCATAGGATGATAAACTATCTAGTAATGAGAATCAAGGAAGGCTTCCTGGAGGAAGTGGCATTTAAGCTAAAACCTGCAGAGGAGGAGGTGAAGAAAACAAAGTGTGGGAGTGTAACTAGGAAGAGAGCAACTAGAAAGCAAGTTGCAGGCAGAAAGAAGAAATGTGAACAAATACCCTATGGCAGAAAAACTTAAACTATCCCGAGTAAAAAGAAAAATCCAGTGGGACTGGAGTGGATGAGTGAAGGGGGAGACATGGGGGTAAATTGATGAGTGAGCAGGAACCATATCACGTCTGGCCTGACAGGTCAGAAAAAGATCTCGATTGTATCCTAAAGTCAATGGGAATCTACTGAGGGATATTGCATAGGGGAACACTTAGGATCAGATTGTTTTTTTTAAACATAAATCAAGGTATGCTTGTACATACAAGCAGCAGAAGCTCATAAATATCACACAGCAGGTATTTAAAAAGAGCACAGTCTGTAATCAGTACATAATCGTACAAATATAAACAGGAGTGTTGGGGTGAGGGTGGTGGCCTGAGCCTGGAGTCTGGGAAGCCTTGCAGAGTTAACCTTTTTGTTTGTTTTGGAGGACTGGTTGTTCAGTTGATTTGACGCCAGGTTTGCATTTGGGTAAGCCAGGATGAAATCCCCATTGAAAACTCTTTCCCTGCTTCAGAAGCTTCAAAAGAAAATTTCTCCTCAAATTTCCACTAAGACTAACCTCGTAGGTGGGCGGTGGTAGGGACCACCTACAGGGTGTGATCTGAAAGGTGCTAAAACACCACTCCTGTTCAGTGTAAACTTTCTCTGCCCCACATTAGTGTTGGAAATTCTACCATCACCATTTGATTCTGAAGAATTTTTAATTGTTAAATATAGTAGCACTGGATCTGTTCTGACTTCCTGAAATGGAGTGTTCTCAGGGATGGGAGAATCTGAAGCTTTTTGAGATGACTGGCCACACAGGAATAGGGAGGAGCCAAGAGATGGGGTAGGTTACAGGAGGCATCCATAATATTGCATATGTATCTTTACAAACACTCATGTAAACATACACGGTGTACTTAGGGCAAATACATAACTTTATAACACGGGGAACGATAATGATAAGGAACCTAGGCCCTGGAATTAGGCCAACCTAGATCACAACCTCTGTGACTCTGGGAAAGTTGTAGCATTCGCCTTGTAGGGTGGTTGGCAGGAAAGGGAGATAGTCTGTTCAAAGACTTAGCACTGCTCTGGGGCATAAATGTTAGATTACTTGTCCTTGTGCACACGTGTGTGCCAGTGTGTGAAGGTGCAGATGTGGGTATGTAAGAGAGAGAGGATGTCCAAGAACAGGAGAGGGGAGCAGGTAGAGCTCCCACAGGAGTGGCCCCCTCTGCAGGGTAAAAGGACAGGGGCCACTCACAGAGGAGGTAGATCAGCTTTATCAAGCGGGGACACCAAAAGGTCTCAAATGGCAAGGGGCGTCCTGATAAGCACAAAATCTAAAGGGGAAATAAATTGAAGGAGACAGGTAATAGAGTGAGGTGTGGTGGTGTTGAAGCTCAAAACACCCTCCATAAAAGGGAGAGGAAAAAAGAAAGAATTGAAAGTGATCTCTGAAATTGACACGGATCCAAAGTAGGGCTCTACACTTGAGGGGGACATAGGACTTCATCTGCTCCATCCTTAAGATCTCTCCTGTTTTGAACTTCAAGCATGCTTGCTTTTTCAGAACTGACACGGAAGAACTTTTAAAAACAAACAAATCACCACAATCTGTTTGCTTTCTGCCTCATAAGGAATTGTCAGCCTTATATCTGAGAGAGAAGACACAGTAAAAGGAGAACACCCACTATCTAGTCCCAGCTCTGCCCCTAACTCACTGGGCAGCTTCAAGGAATCTCCCAACTTCAAGAATCTCTCAGCAGCCTCATCTGCCAAAGAATTTGATTGGTCACTTCATTCATTATCTTTTGACTTTCTGCTGTCTTAGATGAGGTCCAGCTCACCTCAACCATCTCTCCCCCTCTTAAAGTTGTATCACCGCAGGACATGATAATGAAGGTCACAGATCACCTGCCTCTTGCTCACTGTGTCTCCTGGGATGACTTATTTAATGTCTCAGGTCTCTCTTTCCTTCATAAAATGAGGGTAAGAGGCCAGTGTATCGTGGGGTTGATAGAAGGATTAAGTGAGTTCATGAAGATAAAATATTTACAACAATGCTTGGCACAGATGAAAGCTACACTACTCTGTTGTTAGGTATTAATGATAAGATTATTATTATTTACTTTATTGGATAACTTTGTAGTGTAAAGTGTTAAATGAAATATATTATTGATAAATCAAGAAATAGAAGTATAAGCATTATTTGGGGCTATAAAAGGCTCCAGTGGGTAGGGTAAGGGAAGCTGGAATATTACATTTTCTTTTTACCTTTGTAAATTTATTATTATTATTTGGCCCGTGCTACATAGCTTGGTGACTTGTGGGATTTTAGCTTCCTGACCAGGGGCCAAACCCAGCCCTTGGCAGAGAAAGTTCAGAATTCCAACCACTAGACCACCAGGTAATTTCTACTTTTCTTTTTTTAAAAAGTCCTCCTGTGCTTTGATTTTTCAAGGATGTGTCTGGACTACCACAACACTGTTGTTTGTTGTTTTTTTTTTAATTTCATAAGATTGAGCAAATAGATCGCTCAAGTCCATCTCAAATCTCACAGTTCAAGGACTGACTGATTTTATAGGGCAGTAGTTTTTAGGTGACCGGTTTATCTTTGTGTTCACAGCTACCTTAATATGTTTGAACTTTTCAGGAAATCCTCATAAAGGTTTGAAATAAACACAATCACCGTGGCATGTTCATTAACTTGACTGTGTTTTAATTTCCAGGAAAGGACAGAAAATGAGGAAGGGGAAATATAAACTTTGTAAATATTTAACCTTAGAGTAAATTGACTTGTATTTTGCCCACTTGTAATCTTTTCCCTGAAATCGACTCCCACAAAGGAAGGATCCGTAGCAGAGTGTGAAAGCGCAAAGGACAGAACGGCGGTGAAAGCGTTAACTGGGCTGGGTAAGGCGATCCATGAAATGAGTTAAGACTCGAGTTAAAGTTTTCAAAGCGGCGGCAGCAGCAGCAGCTCCCGGGGAAGCGGAAGCCGGTGGAGGGAGCCTGGCGGAGCATCGAGGGGGACCGTGCTGAGCTGAACTCAGCCCTGGGTGACAAGCTCAAGGTTAGTGACCCCCCGCACACCTCCACGTGCTGACATCTCTGGAGCTGTCTCAGGAGGCCGGGCGCCTTCTCTCAGCCCGGCTTGTCCTGTCTGCCTGTCTCCACCAGTGCGGCCACCGGTTTGTGCCAACCCTCCCGCAACGCGTTCCCTTCAGCCCTGGAGCTGAGAGGGACTGGGACCTGTTCCCAAGCCACTCTCCTTAAGAGGGGACTTCTCAGACATCCACAAGGAAACTGTTTCTGGAACAAGGATGATTTTCAGAATACACACACACAGAGGTACACACACCTGTATACGCTGCCCCATCTTGGTTTTTGCAGGTTGTGACCACAATCCCAAATTCCTCTCTGCTTCAGTCGAAACTGAGAACAGTTGTCAAAGTAACGAAACAGGCTGTGCAACTTTATCCTATGGGAGGGGTAGTGTCTCTGAGGCTAAGATAATCAAGGTAAGAAGGCAAAAAAAGAGGAACGAAAAGAAAGAAAAAAACTTTCAAGCTCCACAGCCTGGAGGTGAGGCAAAAGAATTTTTGAAAATTAGATTCTCGTAGAAATTGTACATTGCTAGAACAAAATAAAGGAGGAAGATGTACTGTGAAGGACAGAATTCTACAACTACGGGAGGTTCCCATACACTTATGTAAACAGCTTGTTATCAGTGTGATGCAGATAACAGATACATTTAAAGAAGGGAAAGAGAAAATAGCTTCAGAGAAGTTGCATCCTGAGGGGCCTTCTTTTTTTTTTTCATTTATTTTTATTAGTTGGAGGCTAATTACTTTACAATATCGTAGTGGTTTTTGCCATACATTGACATGAATCAGACGGACTACTGGAAGGCTTCATCCTTGGAGCCCCGGGTCAGTTCTGTCTCCCCGCTCCCGCCTTGCTCACGGAGAGGCAATGAGTAAGTTAGTCCTGCAAGCAGTCAGAAGCTGTACTGGCTGCTCCCTCGCATCCTCCAGCAGGCAGGAGTCGAGGTCTCTACCTGCTAGCACTGAATCAGAATGAGTCATCTCAAACTTGGGTGCGGAAACAAAGTCCCTGCGAGCCGCCTTATGAGGCTCTGCCTCCTGTAGGTGGGATATACCTCTGAAGGCAGTCACAGTTTTTTCCCTCTTCCTTTCTCCTTCAGACAAGCAGGCATCCTGACGCTCTCAAGAAGCCCTGTCTCTGCCCCACTGGCTCAGCTGACCCGACCATGTGGACTCTGCCCCTCCAGGTCAGGACTGGAGTTTTAAAATAAAATGGATGACGTGACGTTACTTGATCTTCTGGAGTGCCCCGTGTGCCTTGAAAAGCTCGATGTCACCGCCAAAGTTCTCCCTTGCCAGCACACCTTCTGCAAGCCATGTCTCCAGAGGATTTTCAAGGCCCACAAGGAGCTGAGGTGCCCCGAGTGCAGGACCCTGGTGTTTTGCAGCATCGAGGCGCTGCCTGCCAACCTGCTGCTCGTGCGCCTTCTGGACGGCGTGCGGGCCGGACAGGCCTCGGGGAGAGGGGGGTCCTTCCGCCGGCCCGGCGTGCTGACCCCGCAGGACGGCAGGAGGAGCAGGACTCACCCCAGAGGTCCGCAGTGCAGTCCTTTCCGGCTGGTGCCTAACGTCAGAATCCACATGGATGGGGTAAGAAAGATCTCATCTGTTCCTTCGTGTTTCCTTGGAGGTTGGCTGTATGTGTGCCACCAGTTGGGGCTTCTCTTCTTTTAGCTCGGTTTCAAAGGGCCGCTGCCGAGGATTCCCTGAGGATAAGTTTCTGTGGGTGGTTTGTCGTACGGAGACTCAGTGGAACCATGAGCCTATCCAGTCCAATCAGGAGCTCTTAAAATTCTTCAGGCTACCCAGGTCCTCCCTGTTTCTAGTCCAGAAGGTGGTAGAACATGGAAAGCCTTCTTGATTGTTTATTTATGCATGTGTTTATTTTTGACTGCACTGGGTCTTCCTTGTGGTGTGCAGGCTTCTCGCTGCAGCGGCTTCTCTTGCTTGGAAGCGCGGCTATAGAGCCTGTGCTCAGCAATTGTGGTGCACAGCCTAGTTATTACTGACATGTGGGATCTTCAAGGACCAGGGATCGAACCCATGTCCCCTGAACTGGCAGGTGGATTCTTAATCACTGGACCACCCAGGAAGTCCTTTGATTATATTCTTGGTCTTTCATTTCTGCTGTTCTGAGGCCAAACCAGGGCATGGGAAATGCACAGAAGATGAGAAAAAGAAAACCAAATCCAACTGCTTGTCACTTTTGAGATCTCAGAGAAGTTACTAAGTGTCAGATTTTGTTTGCATTTTACCCAAATCCATCCTTCCACTCCCAGTCATAAAGTGCCATGATGACAACACTCATTCACAATCACTCAAAGTTATCAAGACAGTGGATACACAAAGTTCGATCGGGAAAGAAGCACATATGTGGGTGTAGTGATTGACAGGAAAGGCTGGGCTGTGAAGAACAACCGACATGTACAGGAGACCTGAAGATGTGTCTTACTTTACAAAATGAATAAAGCATACAGAAAATGCACATCAGAGCCTGCCATGAAAAATGAAGCACCCCAGGTGAGCCACAGGATATCACCCAGTAATGCATTTTGTGTTTGGACAGTGTGAATCGTCCTGTCCAGCCTTGTGGGCACATCCTTGGGACTTTATGTGACCTTCCTGTGAGCCTCATTCTGGGAAGCTGGGAAAGGGGATAACTTGAGAGAAGATCATGGTCTTGGGCTCCAGAAAGATTAGTGGCTGTCACTCCCAGAGTCAGTGTGTCCAAGTGGGCATGGCATGCCGTGGCCTGGGTGGTTGGCATACTCAGAAATTCTGTGAAGTGCCACATAAAGCAAGCTTTAACCCTGGCAGCTAACCACAACTTTAACCATGACTCCCCACTGTGAAGAGTAGCAGAGGGTGGGAGGGTCTTCCCCGGACTCCTTCCCATTGAAGGAGAATAGGCTCGGGTGTGCATTCAGGATAAGTTTCTCAAATGCTCTTCTCAACAGCCTATTACTTCTTGGGTTCCCTGCACCCTTAAGCCCCCCATGCAGCAGGGTAGTGTGGAAACTTTCCAAAAGGAGAGCAGGAAGAAACCGGGCACCAGTGTGATTTCTTCACAGCAGACTTTTTATTGCCATTGTTCCTGTGTGTGAGAACACATTCCACAAAAGGGCTTGGCGCCCTCCTTTCAGGCTCCTTATTAGCCCTAGGTCTAGCCATCAATCAGAATCCACAGGCTTGGAAAAGGAGGGGTAGGGGAACCAGCTTTCTCAGGCAGGCTGTGTTTACAGAGCATCAGGCTGTATCTCGGGTCAGCAGATCTCCCTTTGAATTCCTAAGACCCAGCAACCTCTCTCCTCCCTCACCCTGCAAAGTCTGACTTGCCTCCCCGCAGGGCTGAGTATCATCCATCACTCAGAGAGTGTTGGGAGACTGGGAGGAGGCAAGTCCTCTATCACCTTCGCATATTTTTGTTCATGCTTTCATCTTTTTGATGTGGCTATGTTGCTAAGAAAAGGTAGCAACAGATGGATCCACAGCTACCTACTTTCTGAACCACAGAGAATTCCCAGGTCCCTCCTGGCATGGGGAGCTATAGGAACTAGAGCTCTTATTCTCTTATAGGAATAAGAGACAGCCAGTAAGATCCTGTGTGTCCCTAGAAGTCTTTCACGAGGACCCGTCACTTCAGACCAAGGGGCCGGTGAGGGGGTTGTGCCCATTCTCCGAGCTGCACTGGAGTCCTGCCATGAGGCTGAGACAAACCAAGCCATTGAGGGCCCCTGCTTTCCAGCAGCACCTGGTTTAGTGAAGATGCTCTATGAGAGGGCAGAGGCAGGGGCCACTCCACACCCTCACCCATTTCCTCCCTTTCCTGAGCCCACCTTTCTCCGTGTGGCTCATCACATCCCTTTTGACTCTGTCAGTGGGGATGTGAACAAACTATTCCTGGATGTAAATACAGCTATAATTCTGCATCCTGTTCTACTCCCCCCAAATCTAGCTGCCTTTCCTGAAGTGTGAAAGCAATGGTGCATCCCTGGGTTCAGACAATTGCAGATTATCTGAGAGTCTACACACTGTTCTGAGAGACAGAGGTGTGGCCTTACATCCTCAGCCAAATCCTCATTAAGCTACTTGCCCTCTTGGCCTCAGTTTACCCAACCCAGTCAACTGTTAATAATACTTGCTACCCCTCTTCCTCCAGGAGAGTGTAAACATTATCTTTACAACATACTCATATCACCTTAGAAAACCTACGCTAGATAAATGCAAAGCATCATCATTATCATTCATTTAAACTGACTATATGACTGTGGGCAAGCCACTTCAGCATGCTGGGTCTCAATTTAAAATTCTGTAAAATGGGAAAATATATTATAAGAGTGGAGAGCCATGGTGAGGCTTAACTAATGAGTGTTTTCAAGGCACTTTGAGATCCTTAGATGAAAGGCATTTGGAAGATCGTTATCATAGTAAACATTATTATTGACTGTTTATTGTGCCCTGTCGTGCATGAGACATTCTACAAAACACAGCAGGAGTGATAGTCCTTGCAGAAGAGTGTAATAGGTGTTATTATTGAATTTGAGTCTACAAGGAGTCCAGGCCAGTATAATACTAAGTATAAAGTACTCTACTAATAGGGCATAAACAACCTGTTGTCACGGGGTACCATTCTGCAAAACACTTCTTCCAGAGGACTCAGTGTTAAGGTGGCATTCTCAAAGAGTTCATTTAATTTCCTGTTCAGGAGCTTTTTAAGTCCAAAGTTTGTTCTGCTCACCTTGCCTTATCTAAAAAACAAGCTCATCGAGATCTTTCTGTTGGCTCAAAGAGGTCTGGTACTTTTTGTGCTAGCCAGTATACCAGGGCGGAACCAAGAGCCACACTTCACAGTGCCAACCCAAGAGAGAAAAAAAAAGTAGTCCATTGTGCCTACCTGTCTAAAACCCTCCCAAGCCAGTTGTGTAAAAAGAAAACTTGAGAAATGGCTGTAGGTTTCTACAGCATGCAATTATTTCAAGCCAACAGGTAAGATCAACAGACTCCTGGAGGACCCATGTCAGTGCTGATGTCACTGGTTCTTCTTCCTTCCCATATTGTGGCTGAGCCAAAGGAACTTTGCAAATCTTCGAGAAGATTATGGGCTTCTGAATTGCTGATCATTCTTCCTCTTTCCTCAACTACCCTTTAATAGTATTTCTGATTTAGAACAGGCAGAAAAGCAGTGAAGCTAAAAACTTGCAAAGTTAGGTTTTGAAAAAGTCGGAATTCAGATTCTGGTTCTGCCTCTCGATAGTTGCATACTTTGGATGAACCTCAGGGCCAGCCTCCAATTCCCCTCTGTAACCTGGAGATAATAGCAGTACCTACCTCTGCAGGTTGTTGGGGAGAAATAAACTAGAAAATTCATGTCACTTAGCTCGTAGCACCGTGATTGGTTCATATTACGTGGTCAATAAATTTTAGCTGGTATTGTTATTGTTATTAAAGCAACTCAAGACTTTCCATGCTAAATTATGTACCATCTCTCTTGTTAATTAAGCGTCCCGCAGAGATGGTCCCTGGTACCCTGATTTTTGGTTGGTATGTGTGTCTCCAAAGGATGTGATGCCATACATAATTCAGATGTGTGATTCCTCCCAGCATGCACTGGCTTGGCAGCTCATTTCCAAGACCCTTTAGGAGCTAAGAATGGATTCTAGGAGAAAACAATGCTAGCCAGCTTCTCTTCCCCAAATGGCGAGCTCAGCAAAACACCATACACAGAGCAACAACCTGGCCCACTTTCCCAGCATTGCCAATGCTTCATTAGCATCTGTCTTTCCTTTCGCCTGCATCTTTCTATCCCCAACATAAATGTTGCCACCCTGGGTCTTGCAGGGCCAGACTCTTCCTTCTTTGTTAAACATCATGCCAACCACACACATTCCTGTCTTGCTTGCCCTACCTCAACAAGAACACACCTGCCACCTCCAGCACACAGACCGGGTGGCTGTGTCCTAGAAACTTCTTCAGCTGGTGTGGCAAGCAGCTGAGATGAAAAAATGAGGTCAGAAGGTGCAGGGGGGAATTGAGGCTGGGGAGAAACCAAAAGGCATCCAGGCCCTTTCCTGGGTCTCAGCTGCTGTGTCCTACAGCAGTGCTGCAACACACATGGTCATCTCTACTAAATTTGCAAGGCAGTTAAACCATCCCAAGCCCCTGAAGACAGCAGGCAGATGGCAGTGGGTCAGCGAGGCCTGGATGTGGCAAGTGGAGGAGCCAAGCTTGAGAAGTCAGGAGACCCAGATAGTTCTCCAGTCCCTCCCACCTTTGCAAACCTTTTACAAAACCATATGTCTCCAAAATGACTTGACCCCCAACCTGTGTCAATGTACCACCTTCTTAGTTACAGTCCTCCCCATTTCCCTGATTACTGTTTAAGGACTATGGTCAATCAGAGCTGACTTTGTGCTGGTATTCAATCACTTTTGAGCTGTGAGGCCTCAGGCAAGTCACTTAACCTCTCTGATCCCCAGTTTCCATATTTGTGCACTGGTAATATTCATGGTGTACGTATGTCATAAGGTTACATTGAGATGATGTATGTAAAATGCTTAGTATACTATGGTAAATGTTAAGTAACAAAATAG